TGTGTAAATATATATATATATATATATATATATATATATATATATCACACCTTAAAAGTTGATAAATTGCTTCAGGAGTTCTGTGCGGCGGGCCGGGCTGCGTTCACCGTTCTAGCAACATAGCTCGATCGAGTGAGGGGACTACCTCGGTGGGAATCAGTTCGAAAGCCCTCAATCTCCCTTCAGGTCGTCTTCTAAGTCGACGAGTGCTATGGTACCTTCTCCTCTCCTTCCGTCTTTATCTTATTTGTGTCATCACCTTCTTTCTTCATTTCTAATTTCAAATCCGGCAAATTTTCCGTTGCCGATTTATTAGTGCGGGGTTGTGAAATCTCCTGTAGTTCAATAGTTGGATAGGTTTAGCAACCATCTGGGGATGTTGTCTCTTCTTTTTGGGAAGAGGTGCTTTTGTAGGTCAAACTTGCATGAGGAAGAGGAAAAGGAAAAGAAAGGGAGATCACGAGCAGATTCTTAGAAGTTTATGTGTTTGGTTGTTCATTGCCTGGAATTCAGAATTTCTTGAGCATAGATTTTATATTTTGGCTTACTGTTGCATATGTATATGACATGAGATAGATAAAAAATCAATTAATCAAATCATGTATAAGGTGACGTGAGTGCTTCTTGTTATCTTTTTGGAGTGAAGTTGACTATGACCATGGAAGATTGGCCAATATAGGTAAGAAGTTTGTTTGATGTGATACCAAGAACGTAGAGGTGGATAATAAGTTAATAACTACTTGTGGTTGTTTCATTGAATCGGTCTTTCTTTGCTGAAATGATGACATAAACAAAGGATAATGCTATGCCTTTCTGTTGTTTTTTTATTCACCTATCAGATCATTTAATTTTAAACTTAAAGTATTTGTTTTTGTTTTTTTTAGCTGATTTTTTTTCTCTTTTGCAGGCTAATAGGCACACCATTGTATTGATGCAGCCATCTCAGAACAGGGCAACGAGAACTTTTATGGATTTTGATTCAATCAGTCAATCCATGGATGGTACTGCCATTTTAGAGAATATTAACATGCACCTACAAATAATAGCTTAACATATCACAATTGCCATATATTTTGGATCAACTGCTAAAAATAACTTTTTTAGAGCTTCTCAACTTGAAATTTTTTTCCACTTTTTCATCATATTTGGATATTTTTCCAATCATGTTTCATGCTCAGGTGATTTTCTTCTTGTTGGGGTGTTGAGATTTTCTTCTTGTTGGGGTGTTGAAAGGAAATCAATATGCATTCTTAGACTAAGTGCAAGTGACGACTTAGTTAGATGAGGTTGAGATGAAGCTAATATGTTTATCTAATTAAACTAGAAATTTGATAAAGTACAATATGATTATAATCTAGAAATGGTGGGATTATCATTTATGAAGGCAAAGTTGTAAAAATATACTTTGGTGATTACACATGTAGAACTTATCATTGAGGATGCAACAAAAGAATGCAAATATAATTAATATGTTGGAGCCTAGGGCATGGAAATAAAAAAGCGTAGACCTAGAAATTGTGAAAAAGGACTTTCATTAACTAGAATTTACAATTTATGTAGCATTATTGAAGAGTTAACAAAGATTAATAATTTGTAAAGTTAAGCCTAAATAGTTGGACTCAACTAATGGTGATGCTTAGTTAATTATTGAATTTCACAATTTTCCTTATATGTAAAATGAACTTTTAGCAATGAAAATCTAACATCTTTGTTGAGAAAACTTATTATCATTTATGATAGTTTTTTTTCTTTTGGCATGATAATTTGATGGAGTATCAGTTGGTGTTACCAACAACTCCAAATGTTTAGTTTAATGTCCGAGGATGCAAGTAAGGATTTATAGTTAAATGCTCAAGCATTGTTGAACTCACAAGTATTTTGAACTCATTTCTCATAACACAATCATCAATAATGGTTGAATGAGGGTTCATAACTTACTCGTCTACTATAAATTGCAAGAGACATGATAACTGCTGTCTTGTTATCTTGTCAACTCTCTATTATTTCCTCCCAGGGACACTTAATTGAATCCTCAAAGTTTTAAGCCTATTGCCCACTCTTAGATCATTTGACATAGGACTAGTTGGTGCTACTGATTACTTCAAAAATATATATTAATGGAGAGGGCACAACCAAGACTTTATATCCAAATCTCCATTCCCAAACCTAGTGGTTGGTTGAGTGAATCCACTCATCCACGCATCCATCACTCAATTGTCTATTGTAGTCGAAACTCGAAAGCAAGTTCATGACTTAGTTGTTCATGATCGATTGCAAAAGACATAGCATTTGCTATCCATCTTTCTTGCCATCCCTCTATCAAAGTTTCCCTCTAGCCTCTCCCCGGCCTTTCATTTTCAACTCCAAAAGCTTGTATATACGTAGAGATTCATTTTAATATCACAAATAGTAAGAAGCATAATTGCAAGTAGATTTGAAGGGAATTTCATTATTTTAAAAGAAAAATGACATAAGATAAGTCGGGTTTCAATCACAAATTATGATTACTCACTCATCCATTACATTAGAGAATTGCTCGCCCAAACAAGAGGATTCTCTTTCTATCATTATTAAGCTCTCTCAAGAACTCTTTCATATTTATGTTTTTTCATTGACTCAAAGATGAATTTCTTGCCTGATCAGAAGAGGTGGTTGGTAGTTTGAAAATGCAATTAATTAGGTGGTAAGTGTTGGTCTAGAAATAATATTGCCATACAATGAATACGTAATCAACTTTTCCTTAATTTCATAAGAGGAAAACTTAAAGCTCATGGTGATATCATGCAGGATAGAAACTTAGTTTGATGCAAATGTAATATTTTAAGATGTCCTTAAAATATTATAAGTGGAAAAATTTTAAATCATCATAGTTTATCTCTTGGTGAAAATGCATTCTTTTTTAAAAATTTATGAGCCAGTCCTATGTTTTATTGATTTTTTTTAATAAGGATAGTTGACTAATGACCTCTTACGGTAGCTTAATCCTTTACCTAATCTAAAACCTAAGCATCTCCTTATCTCATTATCACCATTCATCACCAAAGCTTGTTTCTTTCATTGCTCTTGATATAGTAAGATCTCCATTTTATGTAGCAGTACATCATTTATGATTGGTGTACTCTTAGAGATAGAATGCGAAACAAGCATATGCGTGAAAATGTTGGAGTAGCTCCAGTGGCAGATAAGATTAGAGAGGGTCTTCTTAAATGGTTTGGTCACATAAAATGCCGGCCTTCTGATGGCTTGGTTAGGAGAGTAGATGTATTAGATTTGACCTATGTTAAGAGAGGTAGAGGTAGAGCTAAAAAGACTTGATTAGAAAATATTAGAAATGATATTTTTTATTAGATTTAAATGAGAATTTGACTCTTAACATAACACAATGGAGAAAAAAATATTCATGTAGCCAACCCCACATCATGTGATAAGGGCTTGATATTGTTGTTGTTGTTGCTGTACTAATAAACCCTTATCTACATCTCGTCATGATTAGGTCTGGTCACAACATGTCTTTTGATGTTTTATATTTTAAGCTAGGCATAGAAGGAATACAAGAAAATATTTATAAAATAATGACAAAATGTATGAGATCTAAAGACTTTGATCACAATAATTTATTAACAACAAAAATAGTAAGATCATATTTTGCTATTTTCAAAAATTTGTTGAATGAAAAGCTTAAGGAAGAGATTTTTGAAGAGAATATGAATAAAACTACGAAGTATATTATTGATTCATCTAAAGAGGTCCAATTGAGTTAGCTCCCAAAAAGATTTGGAGTGTTGTTACAGATATTGAAGTATTTGGTTAACAAATATTTCCAGTAGAATCTTAAAGTCTAAGAGGATGTCAAATGATTGAAGAGGAAGTATGTTGATACTAATATTTAAGACTAGATATTTTGATTAGAGTTATGATAATTATAGGAGAATTCTATTTATGAGTCATATTTTACAATAAAGTAATGTGAGAGGGTAAGCAAGCTCAACTTCAGAAAAATCACACTGATTTCAATATCTTTTTTGGTTTTATGCTACGAAGATTGACGATAAAGAAGATTTCTGTGTTTAACAATTAATGAAAATGAAGAGAGAGAAATGAAAGTACCTTCATTTGATTTTAATCATGAGAAAGTACATGATCATTTTCATGAGAATTGATTTGGTGCATTTTAAAAAAATATGGGTATAAAATTAATTTGAAGTAGTTAATAATAAGTATTATAACACATTATCTAACGCTCGAAATAATTGTGAAATTATCAAATAATAGTAAGATTATTTCATTATGGATCAACAATAAGATCTTTTTTTTTTATAGGTTGTAGAGATGCTGTTAAAGAAAATTCAAAGTGAGATACCCAAGTGAACTAAAATAAGTGAAAATTTTAAATAATAGAGAAAATTTTAGAAGATAAAGGCTTAAGATTAATAGAATAATGACCTAATGTATTGTATGCAATTTTCATAGGTATGAAATTAGTAATTATTAGTCAAGATTTCTTGAAGTTCTAGTGATACTTAGGTGTAATATTCTTTAAGTATCTTGGATTTATTATAAAGTAGAATGTGGATATATATAATGATATAACTTACGGAGTTAAGAGTAGGTGGTTTTATAAAAGATGAAAGCTTAAGGAGTATTAAAAAAAAAAGAATAATGTGGAAACTTGAAGGGAAAAAAAAAGCTGCAACTGAAAATATTTGTAAGCTAAGACGTAAATACATAGAAGAAAAGAAGAGAAGAAATACACAAAAGAGGCTAATACCTTTTTATTTTGTTACCATACTCATTACATTAAGTCGTTTTGATGCAACCAAAATTTATAGGAAGCTAAGAGCAAATAACTATACGTCTTCCTTTCCTTAAAACAAAAAAATTAACCTAAATATAACAAAATGATATTATTATATCCCACAATAGTTTAAACAAACACAAGCATTCCTTGCAACTTAAAATAAAAGGACATAACCATACGACTTTTCAACGCTTTGAGAAGAAAGATACAAATGGGGTGGAAACTTGCGGATAGAAGAAATAGATAAGAAGCCCGAGACGAAGTTATAGAAAGGAGAAGAGAAGGGGTACATAGCTCACAAGCTATCAAAGAAAAAACCCTCAGGTTTTCTTTCTAAAAATAATTACATAACTCTCCCTAAAAACTGCCCAAAACTCCCCTTTAAATAGGAAAGAAGCAGCCCAAAGGACACCGAAATAGCCGCCCAAACAGCCAACCAAAAATAGGAAAAAAGGTATCATTTAAGGCTCCTAGAAACTGAACCACCACAACCAGGAACCAGGACAAAAACATGAACCGAGGGACCCAGGCAGAGGAACCGAACAGCCAAGCAGGGAACAGGAACCGAACAACCCAAAGCAAGGGGAACCGGGATAGTAGGGAGCATGAACCGAATAGCCCAAAGCACAAAGGGGAACTGGGGGGCTTGTTTACATCAATTCTCCCCTGGTGGAGAAATCTCATCTCTTGATGAGTTCGTTTCAAAATTATGAAGATCTGGCATTTCTAGTTCTTGAATTAGTATGCCATACTTTCATTTGATGATTTCCTTTTCTCGTTCAAATTCATACAGGAGTTGAAGCTTCTTAGAATCGTATCTCTCGGCACATAATTGCAGCTGTTCTTGAATCTTGAAAAGCTCGATCTGTAGAGGATTAGACGAACATGCATGAGGTGGAACCCATTTTGTTGTTGGAAATTTGTCCTATGGAATCCAAAGTGGAATTGGCTGACTTTCTTGACTACCTTCAACTTGTTGTTTATCCATTTTTTTTTAAAGAGAAAGCAAGACTCAAGACAACCTAAAGCTCTGATACCAAAATGATGCAACCAAAATTTATAGGAAGCTAAGGTTGCAAATAACTATACGTCTTCTTTTCCTTAAAACAAAAAAACTAATACAAATATAACGAAACGATATTATTATATCCCACAATAGTTTAAACAAACACAAGCATTCCTTACAACTTAAATTAGAAAGAC